TATATATATATATATATATATATATAATAATGTAGAATCTTACCCAGATTTGGAGCGCACTAGTTTATTGAAAAGTTAAAAAAATATTTTTTTAATATTAAAAATTATTGTGATAAGAGAATCTTAATAAAGAAAACTAGTATTTAACAAATACTTCTCAGCATTTTCCAAAATTATAATATTAAAAAATGGGTGAACTTGCATTTAATAAGCTAAATTGAGATATTTTTTTGACCGGTGGTTGCCCCGTTAACAATATTAGCATGACAACGAAAAAAATTACTGTGTGTACGCTGTCGACAATAAATGGTTGAAACCATATTGGATATATTTTAAAACATTATTTTTTAAAAAAATAGATAAGAGTTGTTCCTTTTAAAAAAAATAGAGAAATATTTATTTAAAAAAATTTTAATTAAAGACATCAAAAAATTAAAAAGGATTTATTTTATTAAAAAATTCTTTTATAGAAAAAAAATTAAGCAAACAAACTCCATTATCAATAAATAAATAGCTTTTCAAAGTTTGTCCATGAATACATGTAAAACAATACTTTAATACTAAAATATTTATACCTGTAAAGGAGATATATCTTTTTAGTGTCTATTTGTTTAAAGATAATTATTCTCTTATTTTATATTCTAATTTTTTGTTTACTAATATATCTCTTAATGATGAAATAGGAAAAAGATGTGTATAAAAAAATGTTTCATCTCATTAATAATAACTACTCTTTTTATTTATTTATATATAGAGACACAATTTATTTATTTATAGAGACACAAAGTCTTTCTTCTACTAGTTTTCAATAAAATCAATACATTATTGTAAAATATTTTTGGCTTAAGTATTTTTTGCCCTTGTAATATATCTATTTTTTTCTTTAATTCTTAAATTTTTTGCTTAAATTTTGGTCCTTGCAATTTTAATTTTTTTTACCTTTGTAGTTACTTTTTCACCATTTTTTTTATGAAATATATGTTAAATAAATATTATTTCAAGTGAATTTAAATCTCTTGATATTTGATATGTCATGCAAAAATAATGAAAAAGTAATGATAAAGACAAACAATATTTTATAAGGATCCAAAGTTAAACAAAAAAAATTTAGTGATCAAAAGTGGAAAACAAGTATACTACATGGACTAACAAGATATTTAAGTCAATATTTTTTTTATTTTAAAATTCTTAACATGTTCTAGTTATTAGAGACATTTAAAAAATAATAAATAAATAAATAAATAAAACCCAAAGGAATAATGGAACTCACTTGGATCTAGATCATCACTCACAAGCTCTAAAACAAGTGTTTTCCCTACCAACTCTTTGATCCCATCAACCGCTGGTTTAAGAAGATTCCCTACAAACCCACCATCACTTTGACCAATAGTCACAACAGCTTTCACATTCACATTCTGAGATTTTGTGTTGGTTTTGCCACTGCTTGTTCCCATAACAGCTTTCATTTACTGAGACACACACCATGCACATATAAAAACCTAGCTTGTCTCTTGAGTTTAGGATGCTACACTTAAACACACAAAAACCAAATATTACTATGGACATTATGAGTATCATCTTTCCTATGTATATATAGGGGGAAATATGCACTGTTAGAGATTCAAGATTGATAAACATGTGAGTTCTCCAACATTATGGTGTTCTTCATGCTAATCGCAATATTAGCTGCATTTTGCCGTAACTTGTTAATCTTTCTTTGGTACCATTTGAGGAAAAACCGTTAAATTGCTTCAAACGTTTTTGCCAAATCAGAGAAGGTCTTAAAATTTGTTTCGACTTTGGAGACCCCTTATAGGATAAAATGTTTCGCAAAGAATAGGGTCAATGTATAACTCAAACAAATTGACATTTCATGAAAAAAAATTCCCATACGCAGGGGTTTGTAGGGCCCCTGAACAATCAAAATGACTTTTAAACTTTATTATTAACGTATACATTTTTGTTTAAAATTAAAATGGTCTTTCCCGTTTTGAACTTCTAATAAATGGCTTCCGTCTTGGCTAAGCCATTTTTATAACTACCAGTCAATACACATGCTTTGAAAGGTATTTAATAATGAAAATATTAATTTACATGTCATTTAATATTTTTATAATATATATTAATCATTATATAAATGAGAATTTTGCTATAAAAAAAAAAGAGACTCTAATTAAGAAAATAAAGCCTTTTCAGAAGAAAAAGAAATGGAAGATATTAAATGTGATAAAAAAAATAATGAAAGAAAAGGAAACAAAATAGATATCAGTCTTCATTATTTAAATTATTTTATATAAGATAAAATAAAACAAAATATAATGGGATACATTTTAATTTGTTCAATTAAATATCTATTTTTTCTACCCAATTATAACAATATGAAATGAAATCAATTTATTATTAATTTATTTATTATTATGTTTCTTTTGTGATAATAATGAAAAGATTAGTTCTTTTCGTTATAAAATTTACATGAATTTTATCTTATTTAAATTTTTACTGTATAGAATTTTGTTAACGTGACAAATAATACCAGGTAGATTTTGATATTTACTTTGTTGCCGCTACAGTACACAAAGAAAAATATATTATACTTTTTTAATTACTTCTCACGAATAAACAAAATAGGCATTATTATAATAAAATTGATTTTATTTTTGAAGTAAATATATAGTGTATGCATAATGCATTGACAATGTAAAAGATTTTTACACTCTCATTCAATTACCTCAATAATCATACTAATAATGTTTTATGATAAGATGGTAGTGTAATTTCATTTACAGATAGAAATCAAACTCTTATTTTTGTTTCTTATTTAAGTTTTAGTTTTCAATCATGTATTACCCAATTATTTATTTATTTTCATCATCACAATACTATTTTTAATGATTTTTGTAATGTTGCGATTGTTGGATCCAAATATATGCGAGTCTTATATTTCATTAGGTTTTGATGAAAATGAACGTTTTTGATGAAAAACATCAAGGCGCTCAATAACGTTTTTCATAAACCGTCCAATGGCTTTTTACACACAAGCATCCGGGATTTCAGTTTCATTCAGTTTTCAATCATGTAATACACATTCTTTAAAGAAAAGAGTAATAATTTTTATTGTCTTATGAAAAGAATATGGATTAAGTGTTAGTCATACTTGTATAAGAAAGAACAAAAGGCATTTTGTAAATGCCTAACGATAAATGTTTTTGTGCACGCTTCTAACACCATATTTTTTAATTATATATATATAT